TGTTATCAATATACCAAATGACTTGCCCTGCAAATTCTTTAGTAATGCCTCACAAATGTCCTATGTGATGTATTCTTTAAGCTCTGCTATATTTTTTATAATAAGTAGCCTGGCAAAACAAATAGTAAAATTATGCTGCCAATCTGAAAGAAGTTTACCAATAATTGCTGCTATTAAGAACTATGAAGATGGTCACAAATTAAGAAATATCCAAGCTTTTCGTGATCTTGAGAATGATGACTGAAATGGAGTTCGAGTTGAAAAGGATATATATACAGCACCTGATAGCAACCAAGTATCAATGCCCGATTCATACAGCCCTTCTTGTTGTTATTAAAATAAAATTGGTGTTGAAAAATATGAACCTAAGATACCTATTAATTATCAAAAATCTACAAAGGTGGATCACACTATTAGAATGAATAATCTTGGTTATAGTTGCCGAAATAGAAAAAGAATTGAAATAGTTAAGCAATATTAGTTCGATTCTCACCAGAAGTCTAATAAGGTAAATATAAGATATATGAATAGTGCTTTAAGTTCGTTGAAGAAGACTATTCAAAGAGACAATATAGTCTTAGATCTTGCTATGAAAATAGAATTGGAGTAAAAATGAATAAACATGAGGCATGAAATTATTATCAAGAATCAGCTGATTGTATTGCAAATAAAATCAGTAATGTAAAGGCAGTGAAAAATGCTAATGATTCTAAAAGAAACATGAAACAAATCAAAGATATGAATGAAGTTATTGAAGATAATAAACAAAGTGGTATTGTTGTGAAGTGTGAAATGAATAAAGATAAAAAAAAGAATGAAAGTAATGAAATGAAAGAGATAGTTAGTACAGGCAATAACAAACTACCACAAACAAGTAATGAAGAAAATGACAACTTACCTTTATCAAGTAACTGGTTGGCCAGAAAGATCAAATGCACAAGTGAAATATCTAATGATGAGATCATTAAAAGGTTATCTAATAGATCTAACAATGCTAATACAAAGGATCAATGTAATTACAGATGGTATTATTAAAATAGTAAAAGCTCAGATAAGAATAGAAAAAAAAGAAACTTCTTTATGAATAGAGTGAAATGTACTTCTATTGCTTGTGTTATAAAGAAATTTTTTTAGTATTTGTATAGGCCCTGACTCACTAAAATAAGCGGATGTATATAAAAAAAAAATGAATAATACTAATAGAAACATTTGCTAGAGCTCATACTTTACCAGAGGAAGATGTTATATAAATTTTTGTAAATTTGATTGATGAATGCATTATCTCATTTTCCTGCAGAAAGATAATTATATTTTTATAACTATATTCATTAATCGAACTGCCAGCATTAATTACTATATTTTTACATATTGTTTTGTTCATTTTCATTTATTACTTCATATTTTGTAAATATTTTTGGGATTATTTCATTTTTATATCAAGAGTTAAGGAATAGAATAAGAATATAAAAGGTGGCTTTAGACAAAACGAGAGGATGATGAAGAATAATGAATAAATAAATAAATAACAGTCTTGTATATATCATTTATAAATAACATGTCTGATAGAATACTTAGTTATCTCTTTAATGCTTATGGCCCTAAGCTAAATTGGCTATGTGAATACAAAGTCTCTTCTCAGGTTATAATACTAGACTGAAAGGATCAAACTTTTAATGACTCTAGTCATAGGTTTGTTACTCCAAAATAAGTTTTTTATTTTATTTATTCATTTTATTTTTTTACTCCTTCTAGAAGTTCTAATGTGATGTTAACCAAAGCATTAAATGCGATTGTTCTAAGTTCGAAAATTAAATAAAATGACACTTTACTTCAATTGCATTATTGTACTCACTATTTATTTTTATAATTCAGACATCTCTTTAATTAACAACTGTAATTTATCACATTTATGCAACAAAGCATGGTTTTGATAAAACATGGAAGATAAGATCAAATAAGTCAAAATTATAGAAACATAGATTATAAATAATAACACTTTTAAAGATATAAAACAATTGTTGCATATAAATAAAACTGCTTTTGATTAAAAATGCAAGGTTCAACAAGCACTATACAGACAGAAATAGCAAAGGCAGCCCCCAAAGTACTGTCACATAATGAATCTTTGCCAATTAGAAAATGATAATATACAATTGTTAGAATATATAAGCTATTTACTATTGTTGAAGTTTAAAAATATATAGCTGCAGCTGCAGTATTCATCATGTGACCAGTATTTTAGAGAGGCTATCCTGGCTATTTCATGCAGAAATATAATCTCAATGATATGTTAATGCTGTATAAGAAAGATGAAATAGTCATCTGCCAAAAAAATTCATACTTGCTTTCAAATAGTAATTTTATCAGCATATGATTCATATCAATGTTCATAACATCAATATCTTCAGAGGTCTAACATTGTCAAATATTAAAAGTATTAGTTTTGATTGTATTTATGTTTAAATATTATTATTATTAATGTTGCTAATTAATATTGCTAAATGAATTACAGTATTGAACTGATTAAAAAAAGATCTGATACAAAATATTTAACAAAAATACCTGACTATATGGGCCTTCTACAGCAAATCAGGGTTTAGAGACAAACTAATGAAAATCAAGATTTTTATTCACAAGTGTGTAATTTATTTATAGTAAAAATTTTAATATATGGGGTCTTTCACATTAAAAGGGCCCATTTTGCAAATTTTTTGAAAAATGAGTTTTTATTAGATTTATGTAAATTTTAACATGACTGATATTTTTCAATTATAAATGAAAAGCGATTTGTATAATAAAAAATAGAGATAATGTAAAAGAAATATTGTATGAAGCTGTCCAAGGCCAAGTACAGCACAAGATTACCTGATAGTTCCCTGTTACGTTTAACCAATCAAAATCGTGAAATTTGCTTAATCTGGATCAGTCCAAAAATCAAAACAAATGATTAAACTCAATTATCTCAAAATTGTTTATATTGCAAAATGGGCCCTTTTAATATGAAAGACCCTATATATACAATTGCATGTATTGAACAAGGTATGTATAAATTATATAGTCTATTTTTTAAGAATTAGAGTTAGAGTAAGCACTAATATAATTCTTTTTTATATGATAGAATTAGGCAGATTATTAAATAGAATCTTTTGACAGATTGTATACTTAATTTTCATGTTATATTTTAAGCATACTATATATTTATATAGATTTTGGTGTGGTGATAAATAAATATATGCTTGTTTGATATAAACTGTATAGTACCATTTAGCAGTATATGTAGTATCCAAATGCTGTCTTTAAATTTACAATTTTATTAGCAAGGGTATGCATACTATATACTTATATATATATAGAGACCCTATAGCAAAAGGGGGCAGTAGAACAAAAATTTGGTTTTTGTAATTTTATAAAAATAGTAATCCTATTACCAGTAATCTAATTTTTTAAGAAATCAAAATAAAAAAATTTTTTTGGCCCACTGCCTCCTTTTGCTATAGAAGGTCCCATATGTATATCATATATCGAATAGATTTAAACAAATATATATATAATAAATTAAATGAATATATATAAATAATAAATAGTTATTATACTATAGGTGAAATTTACCTATAGTGAAAAATTACCATAGGTCCTATTGTGATTTGTCACTATAGGTAATTTTCACCTATGGTAAAAATTACTATAGGTGCATTTTAGTAAAAATTAATTTAAACATAAAAATTGTATAAAACTTTAATAAACATAGAATTCTGTAATTAGATTTTAACAATTTTAGGCTGGTTAGAATTGTCTCATTGAGCTGGTTATTTTGGTAGTAAAATTATTAAAAACAAGCCAATAAATCATAAGTTATTAATTATTAAATATTATATTATTTTTAATATCAATTCTTAATATACAGATTTAAATTAATCCCAAGATATTATTAATAAATACTTTACAAAAATATTATATAAATCTAATTAAATGGGCAGACAAAACTTACTGGCCAATAAGAAGTTGAAGCATAAAGGCATGTACGTGTCAAGGCCCAATAGAGCTCTAGGTATATCTATATGGGAGTCTTAGGATGTCAAGACCACCAATATGGGTATAGCTAGTATAAGTGCATGTGCATGCAGTAGTATAAATTCAGGTTGGCCAAGCCTTATGATACTATTCAACTATACTTGATGCTGGAAACATATGCAAAACATGCCTGGATACCTTGCTACCATAGCAGGAAGTACAGTCATTTGCATATTTCTGAATTTAGGATGCTAAATCCTAGGTCCCCAAGTCACAGAAAAATTGGCTAGCTGTGGCAGCATGCAGGCTTGAAACATTTACCCAATGTAGTATAAACTCCTGAGAAGTCTGCTAGTAAGGATCCTAGGTGTACCAATTTGGAAGCATAAAGCACCTACTTGGAACTACATATGCCAAATTGAAAGTAATGATACTAGGAAATGTGGGTAAAGTAGCAGACATGTGAATACTAATTAGCAGCTAGAAAGGAATGTACGAAACCAGGCTAGCTATATAAATAGGAATATAGTAGCTCTGGTAGGTTTAAATCATAGATAA